TAAGTCCTAAACCGCTAAGGCTTCTACAATCTGGGAATTTCTCCACATAATCTCCTCAGTCCTTAAGAGGAATCCAGCTGTTTAGAGTCTAGGGCTTCAAGGGCCCCAGCACTTTGAGAAATTCACTTGAGCTATAGTCTAAATGGAGGTTTCCCAAAATTAGGGGTACCTTTTTGGGGGTCCCAAAAATAAGGACTCTAGTATTTTGGGGTCTATATTGGGGTCCCTTATTTTGGGAAATTACCAAATAAACTCCTTGAGGGGAGTGTTATAGGGCTTATTAAAGGGGATACTAGGAGTTTAGACTAGCTCACATGGTTCATGGGGTTATTAAACTGCTTACTAAGTCCCCCGGACCCTCCAGGCAAACGCCTAAAGGTTTAGGGTTTTGGGTTTTTTCCCTTCACAATGCGAGGAGCCCAACTACGACTCGAGGAATATTCTCTAAGTAAGGGGTGCTACCTCAACCCCACAGCCCCAAACCCTAAAGCTTGAACCCTAAAATCCTAAACCCTCAAGCTCTGAACTAAACCCCTAAACCCCTAAACCCTAACACCCTAACACCCTAAACCCTTGCAACTGAGGCACGGGGACCTTGCTGCATTTAGCAAATGCCATCCACCTTTGACGGTTGGTGGCCCTGTGGTGGATTTGAAGGACCACAGGAGTAGGGTTTAGGGTTTAGGGTTTAGGGTTTAGGGAGGAGTAGGTTTCAACATTTTTCCATTTGTCTTGACCTTTATCTGAGTTATCATACAAGCCCTATAATAGCATCAATTCATTCAAATTCAATTTTCATAAGGCCCCCAAGACCTACTGCAAACAAATGAGCTATAGTCTCAACTCCGTCATGTGCTATCAGCCTTCATGCATCTGACCCTTCAGCCCAAAACCGTTAACCGCTCTTTCCTTAAGAATATCATAGACAACGGGAGTCTCAGGTGGAAACAGTCCCAGCCTTAACCTTAGAATCTGAAGTCTTAACATTCCCTAGGGCTTAGGGTTTTGGGTACCCTCAACCCCAAAACCCGCAACCCTAAACACAAACCCTAAACCCTAAACCCCCAGAACCCTCAACCCCTAAAACCCTCAACCCTAAAACCCTAAAACCTTAAACCCTTAACCCTAAACCCTCAACCCCTAAACCCCCAAGATGTCAGGACATCGCAGGCCTTCCGAAGGACCCGGTTCCCGGTTTGACTGCCTTCTTAAGTCATGGTGACCCGGAAGCTGGGCTTTCGATAAGTAAAAGGTATATGAGCTATAGTCTAAACTTATAGGTTTTAGGGTTCAAGGTTCAGGGTTGAGGATTTAGGGTTTAGGGTGTAGGATTTAGGGATTAGGGTTTAGGGTTTAGAGTCTAAACTCCTTAAAGGGGGTTATATAGGAGATTATATAGGGCTTAGTAAGTGGGATACTAGGTGACCCTGTAGCTGGGCTTTGGATAAGTAAAGGTTTAGGGTTGTAGGGTTTAGGGCTGTAGGGTTTAGGGCTGTAGGGTT